ACATAGTATTGGAAGTCTTAGCCTCAGCAATCAGACAACACAAAGAAATAAAAGGCATCCAAATTGGCCAGGAGGAGGTCAACCTTTCACTCTTCACAGATGACATGATGCTCTGTATGGAAAACCCACAAGATTCCACCAAAAAACTGCTAGAACTGATCCATGAATTCAGCAAAGTTGCAGGATATAAAACCAATGCATAGAAATAGGTTGCATTCCCATACACCAATAATGAAGCAACAGAAAGAGAATTCAAGCAATGGATCCCATTTACAATTGCACCAAAAACCATAAAATACCTAGGAATAAATCTAACCAAAGATGTGAAAAATATATACACTGAAAACTATAGAAAGCTTATGAAAGAAATTGAAGAAGACACACAAAAAATGGAAAACTATTCCATGCTCCTGGATAGGAAGAACAAATATTGTTAAAATGTTAATATTACCCAAAGCAATCTACATAGTCAATGCAATCTCTATCAAAATAACAGCAGCATTCTTCACAGAACTAGAACAAACAATGCTAAAATTTGTATGGAATCAGAAGAGACCCCAAACAGCAAAGCAATCTTGAAAAATAAAAAGAAAACCAAAGCTGGAGATAAAACCAAAGCTGGAGATCCCAGACTTCAAGCTGTATTACAAAACTGTAATCATCAAGACAGTATGGTACTGGCACAAAAACAGACACTCAGATCAATGGAACAGAATAGAGAGCCCAGAAATGGACCCACAAACGTATGGCCAACTAATTTTTGACAAAGCAGGAAAGAATATCCAATGGAATAAAGACAGTCTGTTCAGCAAGTGGTGCTGGGAAAATTGGACAGTGACATGCAGAAAAATGAATCTGGACCACTTTCTTAGACACAAAAGTAAAGTCAAAATGGATGACAGACCTAAATGTAATACAGGAAGTCATCAAAATCCTCGAGGAGAAAGTAGGCAAAAACCTCTTTGACCTTGGCCACAGCAACTTCTTACCCAACACATCTCCAGAGGCAAGGGAAACAAAAGCAAAAATGAACTATTGGGACCTTATCAAAATAAAAAGCTCTGCACAGTGAAGGAAACAGTTAGAAAAACTAAAGGCAACCAACAGAATGGGAGAAGATATTTGCAAATGACATATCAGATAAAAGGTTAGTATCCACAATCTATAAAGAACTTATCAAACTCAATACCCAAAAAACAAACAATCCAGTGAAGACATGGGCAAAAGACATGAATAGACACTTCACCAGAGAAGACATCCAGATGGCCAACCGACACATTAAAAAATGCTCAGCATCAGTCATCATCTGGGAAATACAAATCAAAATCACAATGGGATACCACCTCACACCTGTCAGAATGGCTAACATTAACAAATCAGGCCACAACAGATGTTGGCAAGGATGCGGAGAAAGAGGATCTCTTTTGCACTGCTGGTGGGAATGCAAAATGGTCTGACCACTCTGGAAAACAGTATGGAGGCTCCTCAAAAAATTAAAAATAGAACTACCCTACGACCCAACAATTGCACTACTAAGTATTTATCCAAGGGATACAGGTGTGCTGTTTTGAAGGGGCACATGCACCCCAGTGTTTATAGCAGTGCTATCAGCAATAGCCAAAGTATGGAAAGAGCCTAAATGTCCATCAATGAATGAATGGATGTGGAAGATGTGGTATACATGTATATACATGAGGAGTTTAAGATACAAAACAGATGAACATAAGAAAGGGAAGCAAAATTAATATAAAAACAGGGAGGGGGAAAAACATAAGAGACTCTTAAATATTTAGAATAAACAGAGGGTTGCTGGAGGGGTTGTGGGAGGGGGGATGGACTAAATGGGTAATGGGCATTAATGAATCTACTCCGGAAATCACTGTTGTACTATATGCTAACTAACTTGGATGTAAATTTAAAAATAAATTAATTTAAAAATTTTTTAAAAACTGGAAAAAAAGAAATCTTCACATATCCTTGTTCTTTTCTAAATAAATTACCATCTCATTTGATTCTCAAATGGTCCTGAGAACCAAACATCTTTTTTTGAAGTGTCTTCTCCTCATATTTCCCGCTTGAAGACCCTACCCACCTGTGCAGAATATTTCATTAAATTAAAAGAAACAAACAAAAAACAGTAACAACAAAAAACCTATAAGTCAGTGTTCAACTAGGTGTATTTGGCTGTACTCTCACTTTCATTCATTAATTTATGTGACAAATAGTTTCTGAGGGTCTCCTATCTGTCAGGCATTGTGAAAATGACTGAGAATATACAGATCAATATGCTACAAGCATTGTTCCCAAGGAGCTCATCTTCTAGCATGATGAATAGCATAGGATAGCATGCTACAATATAGGTGTGAACAAAGTTCTCTGGGAGCAGAGAGGCAGGAACATTTTTTTTGTTTTCTTTTGAGTCCAGGAAATCCAGAAAGATTTCATAAAGGCAAAGAAACTTAAAAAGGAATTTGCATTTTGCAGGATAAGTAGGAACTTACCATAGGGAAGTTGAGTAAAGGGCATTCCAGACAGTTGGAAGAACTTAAGCAAATGCACAGAGATTGGAAAGGACATGTTTGAAAATGGTAAGTACTCCAGCATCACTAAGCTGTAGCATCCTTCAAAGAGTACAGGGGTGGGGCAGTGGCAAAGGATAAGGCAGTGAAGATTGGATGGGACTACCCACTCGAATGCCTTAAGCAGTGTAGGCATTATTTTGCAGGGAATGGGTCACCAATAATAATTTTTAAATGATGTAATATTGTCTTTACAAACTGCCCCAGTCATGCTGCCAAAAGGTGAGTCTAAGAATACAAGTTTTAGTAATTTCATCAGATCTCCTGCGTTCCTGGGAAACAGGAGTGAAGTATATTCCTGAGAAAATTATGCTCTGTGATTGAATACTAGCAATACATAATGTAATATGAGGTGACTGACCAATGGATAAGCTCTAAATATATATATTAAATATGAATAATAAACGTGTGAAATGAGTACCCTATTAAAATCCCTTCCATCTTAAAAGATTTATGACTCTAAAAACTGGTGAATAAGTGATCTAATTGGTATCTCAACAAACAATGCTTAATAGGGCACTTTCCATTAGAAGAAATAGTCAGATGTGCAGCAAAAAAAATAGGAAAAAGTAAAAACATACTAAAACAATATCTAAACTTATAATTACCTTTTAAAATTTGACCTACTATTATATATTTTTCTATATATATTTTTGTTAGAATATATTAGGGTTTCCTTTAGAATTCAGTTTGTTCATCACTTGGTAAACTCTCCTGTCCCATCCTAAAAGCAGTACATAAAGGGACCAATAGTACATATTTCCCAGTGTCTGTAGAACTCCTTACTCCCGTCATCTTCAGCACCTGCTCGCAATCCTCTCCTCTCTGGTTAAAGCAAAGGCAATTTTTAAGCCTATGCTCTGTCTTCCAAGTTCACATCCACTTCTCTACCTATGTCCTTTTATAGTATAGTATCCTTAATGTATCTATAAGCTTATTAAATCCACAAATGCAATTACAAAATATGATTTTTTCCCAGTTTTCATTTTATATATGAGGACAAAGAGACCTAGGGATATTGAAGGATTTAGACTTGGAGTTTGTTCAATACCACATAGCCAAACAGTGACAGACCCAGGACTCTAAAAACCTTTCCTAGACTGTGTCTCCACATCAGTGAGTCAGAAGTCAGGAAATGGACATATCAGTGGGCATGCTATCAGCACTTCACAAAGGTTGATTGGATAATTGGAGGATGGTTGAAGAGCTGGATGAAAATCAGAATTCTCATAGAAACTAGTTGTCTCCAACTAGAAAAGATAGTCCTGGTCAAGGACAAAAGAGGGGCCATTGCCAACTGGAACTTATTGGTTCAACAGATGTCTGTGGAGCATGAATGCTATCAACACTATCAAGCACTGGATACAATACCCTAAGGTACTGTTCTAGATGCTGGGAAGACAGTACTAGTGAAACAGATAAAAATTTCTGCCCTCATAGGGAAAAAGAAAATAAGCAAAATAATTTTATGTATATAATATATGCATACATGTACATTTTAAGGATTATATGTGTATTATACAGACACTCATACAATGATGTATGTATGTAAGTATGTATGTATGTATGTATGTATGTATGTATGTATGTAAGATGGATGGATCTAGGTAATAATAAGTGCTAAGGAGAAAAGTATAATGGGAATGGGGTAAAATTTTATATGAAGTGGATAAGGAAGGCCTCACTGAGATGACTTGAGCAAACAGCTGAAGGAGTGCGGGCTCATCTGCGTGAACATCTGCACATTATACACAGTGGGAGCACCACCATTGAGCTGACAGTGTGTCTGGAATGCCGGAGTGATGAGCACAGGGGCAGTGGAAGATGAAGCTAGAGAGGGGAGGTAGAGGAGAGATTATGTAGGCCTTGTCATTTTGGCAAGGACTTTGGATTTTACTGAAGACAGAGGGTCATCTGTTTTCAAGGTCCTCACTCACTTCCTTTTACTTATTTTCAGTTAAATTACACAATTTATGTTTCTGCAGATTCACCATGGCCAGTTGAAATGAGCCTGCTTAGGACCAAGGACAGATCCATAGGCATTGGTTAGGAGGCCACTGTAGTAATCCAGGTGACACTGGATGTGACATGGGCAAGTGTGGTTGTAACACAGAAAGAGAGGAATGCCAGATTCTAGATATATTTTTAAGATTGAGCCAATAGGAGTCACCAATAGACTACACGTGGGTATGAGACAGAAAGGTAAGTCATGGGTGATATCAAGATTTTTTAAAGGATTTTTGGCTTGTTCTTGGGAACTTGCATAGCTTTTTACTAAGAGATCAACCAACTCTTCAATATGTGAAGAGTGATGTGAGTAATTATATCATTAACTCAACCAGCATAGATGACCAGATAGGAATTTTGTTCAGTCAGACAAAATCTTCCAGATACTAAACCATTTCTGTCAGGTAAGCCTACCTTGCAGATCTCCCTCTGGGCTCTGGGAATCCAGGGGTTTACATCCCCAGAAGGCAGCATCTCCTTCAGGCCTTCAATGGTTTGGGATTTTAGTGGTAGGCATGGACCAATCTGTTCATTCAGGTAGAGTTCACAAATTCTGTTGCCCAGCATGTGCTGAAAGACAGTATTCCCAGTCTTCCTGTTACTTATCAGGACACTGAGGAAATGGTGCAGGTCCTGCCAGAGGTCCAGGAGTTGGATCTCCACTTTCAAATTCTGCTTTTTCAGGTAGTGCCGGAAGGGACGCCCTGCACAATCATCAGCACACAAGGCCCAGTGGGTGTACCCTAAGGAAATGCTTTGTTTGATGACTTTCTTGATTGTCATCTGGGGGCAGTGATTGATGCTAGGGGTGACAGTCCTCATGTGTGTAGAGAACGTTGTCTCAAAGAGGCCCTCCATGTGGAGGTGGCTCTTGGATTTCTTCTTCATGTTAGACTTCCCGGCACAGAGAATATCCTTTTCCTGGGAACTGATTATTCTCTCCTTTGAAGACGTCACTTTCAAGGAGGGCATTTGTGTATATTTGTATTTGTATGTGTCCTTAACTTGAGCACACATCTCCTGGAGGGGCGTAATGTTGGTTTCTGGTTTGGTATCTATTTCCAGAGTAGAGCCATGGTCTGTCAACTGCCACATCCTCCTCTTGGTTGTCTTGCTTGAGTACCTCTTCTGGGGGTAGTGGCACTTCTTGATGCTCATGTTTAGAGGGAGTTCTCCTATGTGAGTACAGCAAACACTGCATAAGCGAGTCTCATATTCCTGCAGCAGACCTTGGCATGATTCCACTTTGGCCATAATCGTCCTGGCATGGGTGTAAAAGTTGGGGAGCCAATAGCTCTGAAGTTTGAACAGAGCCACTTTCTGCATGTGGCTCAAAATCTCCCTCCTGGTGGTTGATTGGTTGGGATGCCAGATGGATAGGTTCAGAAGGGACTCTGGAAATAATAGAAAGACACGAAGGATGAAAATGATCTAGTGGTAGTGATGATAATGATGTTGGGAGAGGTTTTTTGAAGTTTTCCAAATGTTATGTATAGCATTTCATTTGTTCTTCATGCAACCCTGGTGTATGGACAGGACAAATACATAGTAAACACGTTTTAGGGATTTTCTCAGGGAATGGTGACCCCTTTCTCTGATTACCTTCCCTTTCTCCCACATAAATAATACAGTTTATGGGATTCATTGAATTATTTTTTGGACAATTGGATGTTACCATAAAGAAAAGCAAAGTGAACAAGAAAATATGTTTAAGAATAGGAGGCATGTACCTATGAATGGGATTTTTCAGAGTCAGATCTACCTGGAGGAAAGGGTTTAGACTGGATAATTTGAAGGAGTCATTACCAGCTCTGATTTTAATGTAATAAATTCTCAGTGATCTCTATCAATAGAGGAGTGTGACCAATCTCAAAACACAGATCTTCTGAACATATTTATATTTGGGTCAGGAATGTCTCCTTAATTAATAAATAAATAATTTTTGATGAATCTGATGTTCTAGAGTAGAGGCTGGCAAACGTGTAAACTTCAGCTTTGTGAGTTATATGCAGTCTCTGCTTCACAGTCTTCTTCTTTAGTCCTTTAAAAATACTAAAACATTCTTAGTCCACAGGCTATATGCACTGTTTTGCCTGTGAGCTCTAGTTTGTTCTAGGGAATCTCAGTTTTTAAAAAAGAGGTGCCATGCCATCTCAGAAGATGCAGGAGCTGTTTAATTATGCTATCCCAACTCGTCTTCACTCCTTCCAGCCAACCTACACTGGTGAGTAATATCTCAGCAAGAAGCACATACCAGCCTAAGGACAACTGGACTCTTGCAACCCTTCCCTGTTAAGGGTTCCCATGACATCCCTGATACACAGAAAATGGAGAGGGTAGATGCCTACAAAATGATTGATTTTTTTGGTTACATCCCCCAGTGATTTCACTTCAGATATGCTTTATAATTCTTACTGATGTTCATGTTGCAGAGAGTCACTACTCTTGAGCCCTCCTGTAAATGGGTAGCCTTCAGCACAAGGAGGAGGGACAGATAGTGGTCTCTCATTTCCAGGTCCATCTCATCTATGCTCAAGATCTTCTCAGCAAGGATCCAGAAATCCACCAGCTCTTCACCTACAGATTAGACAGGGCAAGCACAGCGCTGCACCCCGATGTTGCCCCTTCTGTGGTTACATCTGGGTGTAGCAGCTAATACCACTCCCCACCACCAGCTTGCTCTATTGCCTCAAATAGTACCATTAGTCACTTCTTTGGTTTTAGGCATCATCCCTAGTGATGTCGTACTGTTGGGGCAGATGGAGGCATGGGGAGAAGGGACTTAATGGATAGGGACCTTGTGTGACTTTTGTCGTTGTGAGGAAAACTGTTACTTTAGAGAAAACTGAAAGACTGTGAGAATGGATCATGAGACACTTGAATTTATCCAAAACATGAAGATGAAAAGAAAAAAGAACATTTCCTATATCATGGACCCAGAAAAACCAGAAGAAGGAATAATAGAACCCAAAGATGCCAAAGACTACATTCCCTGTGTCACAACTCTGCCAGGGTTAAAGTCTGAGTGACATACTAAAAGATAGCCTGTCTAGTTCTTCCCTACCTGCTCCCTGGAAATCCAGGATTTCACCCTTAAACTAGGGCTTGTCCTTGGATGAAAACCAATGCTGCTGAACTGGAGTGTCAGCTAGTGCTGGCTGCTCACCTCCCAGTAGTCATCAACCACTGGACTCAACAGAACAGAAAGCAGTGCATGTGAACATTTCTGCTATAGGGATTTGTTTATTTATGTGTTCCTTGTGTGTTTCCCCACTATTGTGATAGCTTTATGAAGTGGAGATTTATGGCTCTTATTCACAGTGGCTTCCACACAGTGGTGCTCAACATTGTTAAGTGAATAGATACATGAATGGATGGATGAATGAACAAAATAAAAGGACTCTATTTACTTTTGCCCTAAACTACACTGTGGACCTATTTTCAAAGACTTTTACACAAACTACAGTATAAAGCATTTATTTCCCATATGCATACATTATTGTCAATAAGTGCTCTGGGGCATCCTGGAAGCTGTTATGAACCTGCAAGGACTCCAGAAACAACTCCAAGAACCTACCTGTACTGTCTTTGAGGTAGGTACAGAAGCGCCACATCCCTCTGACCCCACCAATGCACTTCTGGAGTAGCCACTGGTCTGCTTTTTTCCATCTCAACATCTTGGCTGCCAGGAAAAGTCCATGGTGAGAGAGAGAGAGAATGAGCTCTTCTCCCAGCCCCTCTCTCAGCCTTGCACACAGCTAGACCCCCATTCACTCAGGGTGAGTGAGGAAAAATGGTGGCCATTTAGACGAGTTGGAGTAGGAGTATGCAGTACTTCTGAAGGCAGGAAATAGACCCTGTAGTGACACGCATCATATGAGGGACCCACAAGCAGAGTATAATCCACAGATCAAAAACACCACCCAAGGCTCTTTGCCTTCTATAATCCCCACCTGACAGTGATTTTGCCAATCCAATTTTCCCAATATATATATATTGAAGAAAGGAGATGAATATATTGGGTATTTTGTTATATTTTACTCAGTGTAAGTCTCCTGAATCTCAACTTTCCCCAGGTGGAACACAGTTTCCTTTGGCTAGTTGAATTAAGAGTCAAATTATTGATTCAATCCTAGATGGCAATTTTATTAATTAATTCTCTTAACAAATATATATTATTAATATATTTGTTAAATGTCTACTACTTAGTATCATTCTAGATGTTTGGGATACATTAGCAAATAGGAAATCCTTGCCCACAAGGAGTTTACATTCTGGTGAAGGAGACAGATAATAAACAATAAGCATAATAAGTACATTATCTAGTAAGGTTGAAGGTTATAAGCACTACAGGAAAAAAATGAAAAGGTAAAAGAGAGTAAAGGGGGTTGGGAGTGTTAGGACAAGAGTTGGATGAATGGCATTAGGGTCATCAGGGTAGCCTCTTCTGAGGAGGTGAGATTTGCACAGAGATTTGAAGAGGTGAGAGAGGGAGCCAATGTGGGTATATTGACAAAGCATTCCAGGCAGAGTAAATAGCCAGTGCAAGGCCTTGAAATGAGTATGTGTCAAGGCAGGATTTTTGAGGAACTGCAAGCAAACCAAGTGTAACTGAAATGGAATAAGCAATGGAGGGAATAGGAGGAGATCAGCTCCTAAAAGTAATGGACCCACATCTTGAGGATCCTGAAGACCTAGAGATATAGGGGCATTAGATCTCACACTGAGATGGGAGTCATTGGTGGGGGTAGGGAGCAGCCAATAGAGGAGTTACATGATCTGAATTAAGTTTTAAAAGGCTCTCTCCAGGTGCCTAGGTGGCTCAGCCGGTTAAGCTTCCAACACTTGGTTTCAACCCAGGTCATGATCTCACAGTTCATGAATTTGAGCCCCGCTTTGGGTTCTGCACTGACAGAGGGGGCCCTGCTTGGGACCCTTTCTCCATCCTCTCTGCCCCTCCCCTGCTCACACTCTCTCTCAAAAAAAATTGTTTTTTGTTTTGTTTTGTTTTAAAGGCTCTCTCTGGCCGCTGTGAGCAGGAGAACAAGAGCAGAAACAAGGAGACTAATTAAGGGATGATTTCAGTAGCCAGGTGAGAAATTGTGGTGGCTTAGACCAGGTGGTACGAATGAAGGTGGTGAGCTATATATTCTGAATATATTTTAGGCAGTTTTGCCATGTTCTGTGTCCACCAGTAACTCTCTCACTTCTGGCTGCAGTGAGACAAATAGCGCATACAACCTATCTGACTCCTGTTTATTGCTCTAGGTACCAATTTTTTCAGCCTAAGCTTTCACCTACTGCTGCATTACAAGCTGGGCCACCTCACATCTAAGTCTACAAAGGTGGCCAGTATTTGTAAATTACTATAGGACTGACAGGAACAGGATCATTATACAGCCTGGCTTCCCATATTTCTCCACACACACACCCTCATGCTTACCTCCTTCTGGGGACTTAATGAAACTGATGAGCTCCTGACAGAGAATGTAATGGAAACACAAGTTGGCTTTACAGAAGAAAGGTAACCGGTATTTTTCCAACCAGGTCAATAATCCTTTGTACTTTGCAATCTAGAGTGCAAACAAAATGGGAACAGAAAAGAGAAATGGAACTGAAATGCTAAGAAATGCAGCTTAGCAAGGGGCAATAAATAACTTCACACCTGCAGTACCTGGCCCACAGGGGAGGTGTGCTGATTAAAAATAGTATCTAAGAGGAGTGAAGGCTTGAGCCAAGGCTCCCAAAGGAGTGAATGAATTGGTAGGAGAGAAAAGGCTTGGTCTTTCATCAAAAATGTTTCCTTACTCCTGGGTCAAGTTGTTTAAGAAAACATCTAAGTCTTGCTAGGTAGAAGAGAAGCAGAAGAAATTTTGGTCTGTGGTGTCAAGTCAACTCTATTGAATTTGCTTCTTTATAAGCACACTTAAAATTTCTTACAAGTTCCTTTCCCATATCAAATGTACAACATGTACAAAAACACACAAAGGGGTGTATGTGTGGCTCAGTCAGTTGAGCATCTGACTCTTGATTTTGGCTCAGGTCATGATCTCACAGTGAGTTCAAGCCCCACATCAGGCTCTGTGCTGACAGCATGGAGCCTGCTTGGGATTCTCTCTCTCTCTCTCTCTCTCTCTCTCTCTCTCTCTCTCTCTGCTCTCCCCCCACCCATGCTCTCTCTCTCTCTCAAAAATAAACAAATATTTTAAAAAAACCATACACACAAAGACTCACATCACACTTAACATCATTTAGAGTATAGGTTGGATCACTGAGGGATTGAGCCACCAGAGAAGGGAAAACATAAAATTTTTCTTTTTGCCTGTACCTTCCACTCCTCTTTACCCATTTTTCCAATCCCCCCCATCCACTTCCCATGTGGCAACCACCAGTTTGTTTTCTGTATTTATGGGTCTTTTTCTGCTTTTATTTGTTCATTTGTTTTGTTTTTTAGATTCCACACATAAGTGAAATCATATAGTATTTGCTTTCCTTTAATTTATTTCACTTAGTATATTACCCTTTAGTCCCATCCATGTTGTTGCAAATGGCAAGACAAGATCTCATTCTTTTTTATGGCTGAGTAATATTCCAGTGTGTGTATGTGTGTCACACCTTCTTTATCCATTCATCTATTGATGATACTTATGGTGCTTCCATATATTGGATATTGTAAATAATGCATAAACATAGGGGTGTCTATATCTTTTCAAATTAGTGTTTTCACTTTCTTTGGGTAAATACCCAGTCATGGAATTACTGGATTTTATGGTAGCTCTATTTTTAATTTTTTGAAGAATCTCTGTACTGTTTTCCATAGTGGTTACACCAATTTACATTCTCACCAAAAGTGCACGAGGGTTCCCTTTTGTCCACATCCTCACCAATATTTGTTATTTCTTGTCATTCTGACAGGTCTAAGGTGGTGTCTCATTGTGGTTTGATTTGCATTTTCTTTATGATTCATGATATTGAACATCTTTTCATGTGTCTGTTCGCTATCTGTACATCTTTATTGGAAAAAGTGTCTAATCAAGTCTTTGCCCATTTTTAATTGGATTTTTTTTTTTGGTGTTGAGTTGTATAGTTCTTTGTATCTTTTTATATTAACCTTTTATTATAGATATCATTTGCAAATATCTTTTCCCTTTCACTGGGTTGCCTTTATGTTTTCCCAATGGTTCCCTTTGCTGTGCAAAAGGTTTTTACTTTGGGGGCACCTGGGTAGCTCAGTTGGTTGAGCGTCCAAATTTGGCTCAGGTCAGGATCTCACGGTTTGTGGGTTTGTGCCCCGCATGGGGCCCTGGGCTGATGCCTCAGAGCCTGGAGCCTGCTTTGGATTCGGTGTCTCCCTCTCTCTCTCTACCCCTCCCCTGCTCATGCTCTGTCTCTCTCAAAAATAGACATTATAAAAAAAAATTTTTTTAAGGTTTTTTACTTTGGGGTAGTTCCAATAGTTAATTGTTCCTTTTGCTTCCCTTGCCTGAAGAGACATATACATAAATATGTTGCTAAGGCTGATGTCAAAAAGAATACTGATTATGCTTGCTTTCAGGATTTTTATGGTTTCAGGTCTTACATTTAGGTTTTTAATCCATTTTGAGTTGATTTTTGTGTATGGTATAAGAAAGCGGTTTCATTCTTTTGCATGTAGCTGTTCTATTTTCTCAACATTATTTATTGAAGAGACTATCTTTTCCCCCACTGTATATTCTTCCCTGCTTTGTTATGGATTAATTTACCATATAAGTGTGGGTTTATTTCTGGGCTCTATCTCCTATGGATAGACCTATAGATCTATCCTATGTGTCTATTTTTGTGTCAGTATCATACTTTTTTTGATTATTATAGCTTTATATTTTAAAATCTAGAATTGTGATATCTTCAGTTTTGTTCTTTTTTCTCAAGATTGCTTTGGCTTTCTGGAGTCTCTTTTGGTTCCATACACATTTTAGGATTATTTCTATAGTTCTGTGAAAAATACTATTGGTATTTTGCAACACAGATTGCATTGAATCTGTCGATTGCTTAGGGTAGTATGGACCTTTCATCAATATTAATTTTTACAATCCATGAACATGACATGTCTTTCCATTTGTGTCATCTTCAATTTCTTTCATCAGTGTTTTACAGTTTTCAGAGTATAGGTCTTTGACCTCCTTCCTAGGTATCTTATCCTTTTTGGTGCAATTGTAAATGCAATTGTTTTCTTAATTTCTCTTTCTGCTATTTCATTATTAGTGTACAGAAGCACAACAGATTTGTTTATTAATTTTGTATCCTGAAACTTTACAGAATCTATTTATTACTTCTAACATTTTTAAAAATATAATTTATTGTCAAATTGGCTAACATACAGTGTGTTAAGAGTGCTCTTGGTTTTTAGGGTAGATTCCGTGGTTCATTGCTTACCTACAACACCCAGCGCTCACCTTAACAAGTGCCTTCCTCAATGCCCATCGCCCATTTTCCCCTCTCCCCCACGCCCCCATCCACCCTCAGATTGTTCTTTGTATTTAAGAGTCTCTTATGGTTTGCCTCCCTCTCTACCTGCTTATAACGATTTCCCCCCTTCCTTTCCCCCATGGTCTTCTGTTAAGTTTCTCAAGTTCCACATATGAGTGAAAACATATGATATCTGTCTTTCTCTAGCTGACTTATTTCATTTTTTTGAGGGAGTCTTTAGGACTTCATATGTATTATGTCATGTGCAAATAGTGCCAGTTTTACTTCTTCATCAATTTAAATACCTTTTATTTGTTTTTTATCTGATTGCTGTGGTTGGAACTTCCAGTGCTGCTATATAAAAGTGGTGAGAGTGGACACTCTTGTCTTGTTCCTGATCTTACAGGAAAAGCTCCCAAGATTTCACTATTGAGTATGATGTTAGCTGTGGTTTTGTCATATACGGCCTTTGTTATGGTGAGGTATGTTCCTTTTGTTTATTATTAAATTTTTTTAACGTTTTATTTTTTTTTTTGAGACAGAGAGAGACAGAGCATGAACAGGGGAGGGTCAGAGAGAGGGAGACACAGAATCTGAAACAGGCTCCAGGCTCTGAGCTGTCAGCACAGAGCCCGACGTGGGGCTCGAACTCACAGACCGCAAGATCATGACCTGAGCCAAAGTCAGCTGCTTAACCAACTGAGCCACTCAGGCGTCCCTGAGGTATGTTCCTTTTAAACCAACTCTATTGAGGGTTTTTATCATGAATGATATTGAATTTTGTCAAATGCTTTTTCTGCATCTATTAAGATTATCATATGATTTTATCCTTCATTTTGTTAATGTGGTGTATCATGTTGATCAATTTGCAAACACTGAATCATCCTTGTATCCATAAAATAAATCCCATTTGTCACAGTAAATGATCCTTTTAATGCATTGCTGATTTCAGTTTGCTAATATTTTGTTGAGAATTTTTGTACCTGTGTTCCTCAGAGACACTGACCTGTAATTCCCCCTTTTTGTAGTGTTTTTGTCTAGTTTTGGTATCAAGGTAATGCTGGCCTTGTAGAAACAAAGGTATTTGGAAACTTTCCTTCCTCTTCTATTTTTTAGAATAATTTCAGGAGAATAGGTATTAACTCTTCTTTAAATGCTTAGTAGAATTCGCCTGTGAACCCATTCGGTTCTGGACTTTTGTTTGTTGAAAGTTTTTTTGATTGCCAATTCGATTTCTTTACTAGTAATTGTTCTATTCAGATTTTCTATTTATTCCTGATTCAGTTTTGGAAATTATATGCTTCTACAAATTTATCCATCTCTTTTAGTTTGTCCAATTTTTTGGCATATAATTTTTCATAGTAACCTCTTATAACTTCTGTAGTATTGGTGGTTATTTCTTCTTTTTCAAGAAAATAAGGATTTTACGTTTCAGGATTTTTCTAGGGAAATCAAATATAAGACTCAGAGTGGAGTGTCTTTCTCAGCTCTTCAGGTCTCAGAGAAAAATAAAATCTGTTGTGAGTGTAGCTTAGAGTGATCTTTCTGATCCCACATGCCACTGGTAGAGCATGCATAAGTCTAAGATCTACACAGTAGGAAAGGAGAACAAGAAGGAGGAAAAGGAGAAGAGAAAGACAATGGACAAGGAAGACAGTTATAAAGAGAAAAAAAAGATTGGGAGAAAGATGTTTCTGAAGGATAATGGTAGGATAGTCATTAGGAATTGCATAGTGGTACCTTATCTTTATCTATAATTTATAATGCAAATAACTTATAGTGCAAATAAGTGGACCATGCACTGCCACTTCCTACCCCACACCTGTGGCAGGCATTGCCAATCAATTCTCAGACTCTTTCTTGCTTATGTATGGCCCCAGAATTCTTCTAAATGGTGTTCCAAGAATTTACTCCCCAATAATCACAGTGGACATGAAAAATGGTATCATTTGCTGGCCATAGACTAGAAGATAGAGGAGAGAATTCACCAACAATTGTCTGTCCAAGTGGTAAAAACACAAAAAGGAGAAATGTCTATGCTGGCTTGATGCTGTTTGTCCTACTCACCTGCTTTATAGTTTCTTTCAGAGTCACCCTCTGGGCCTCCTTTCCCTTTTACCTCTCCATCTCTCACGCCACACTTCAAATTTAGCTCCCTCTCCCCCTAACCCAAACCCTCTGCCATTCAAGAATCTTACCACGTCATAAGGTATTTCTGGCCACAAGCTCCACTGTGAATTTTCAACAGCATAAAATGGTGTCTGACCAAAGACCTGCAAAAGAAAGCTAGGAAATGCCAGAGGGGTAGAACTTCTCTTCATAAATATGTCCCAGTCCAACTGCAGCTCAGGGGAAGGGGGTTCCATTGATTTCCTATTCTAAGAGACATTAATTCATAAATTCATTCCACTAAATCAATCTGCCTTGCAGAAAAACACCCAAAATAGACTAAAGTGCAGATTCATTGATCTTTGGGGTCAACTCTGACCCACCCTGGAAGTTATCTTGCCTGTGTACAAAGGCCAAAGCATTATATTAAAAGGTATTTACTTTTGTATTACATTATTCACTTCTGCATGGGTTTAGAGAGTTAGATCAAAGGTTGGAAACATTTTTTATAAAGAGAAACAGCTTTGGATTTGCCTAAGCTCTTGAACTGGAGAAAGTAGAGGGGCCTAAGGATATGAGGGTTAGAGGTACAAATTTCTTAGTGGTGGTATTAAGAATGTCCAAAATTTATAAATAATTCTAGGTTACTTTCTTGGAGAAGGGACTGTGACCTTGGCAACCAGCTTTGAGACTGATGGGCAATGGCTTCTATGTTTGTAGGTATTTAAGCTTAGCAGTATCAACATAGGTACCAACATGTCTCAAAGTATCCCCACATCATTTGTGAAAAACTAGAGGGGCTGAAGTCTCAACTCCTGGCTAAGCTCTTAGAACATGATGTCAGCTTCCATCTCTCCAAGACTGTCAGCCCCAAATTTTGTCAGTCTGAGGCTCTCTCCTTCTGTCCCCTTTGTCCTTGGATATGAGATATATAAAGAAGGCAGTGGTACTGATTGTACTTTACAAATATCAGCCTGTGAAGGAGGCTCAGTCCTTAGTGACTCCTCACTGGTCTGCACTCAGGGTTTGACATGACATGCCCTGTCTGGCATGTGAAGTTGCCTTTATGAGATGTATGGGGGGACTAAGGAGTCATGAGATTCTGTAGGAGTAGTGCATGGAAGCAGTTTCACCATGTGATCTTTGTAACACAGAGGGCATGAGGCCAATGTGGAAAACATACCAGTTTTAGAGAGCTCCAAGACTTCCCCAGATTTTCCATGTGTTCTTGGGCAAGTCATTGAATGTCTGGTGTCTATCTCACAGGATGTTTATAGAAATTAATGGTCAAAATTTGTAAATTGACAGCAGTATTCAACATAAACTAATACTGTCTCTCTAAATAAACCACAGCTACCTAAATGGCCAAGACTTTCTTACATTCTTGGTTGGGATTCTAGTTCCCACACCATTCTCACCATTTCTAGAACATTATTATAGACTGCTTAAGTTGTGTTGATAAATTGACTAACTACAATGCCCCAAGATTACTTCTGCAAACTTTCATTAAGACAGTGGCACCACCTTCCACCAGGCATCCGACTCCTCCCTTCTTGTTACCACCTCTCCCTGACATTCAAACAGTGACAGAGTCCTATATTTTTCTTTATTAAAAATCTCTCTAATTTGTTCCATTCTCTTTATCTTCTTGCCTTTAAACCCCCACCACTGAAACAGTCTCCTAACTGCTCTCCTCGCCTCCATTATGGTCCCCTAATGGCCAAACCTGTGGTCAGACTTCTACAGAAATAATTTGCACAGATGAAAGTCTGATAATGTTACTCCTTTACTTGAAGCCCTTCAATGGCTCTCCATGACCTTCAGGATGATGTCTAAACTCCTAAGCATGGCCCGCCTGCTCTGAGAGGCCTGGCTTAGCCTGTCCTGCAGTTTTATCTCTTGCTGTGTCTGCCTCTCACAACTTTTTCTTCAGCCTTAGTTGCTTAGTGTTTCTCCCCAAGTACCGTGGGATTATTTTCCTTGGTGCCTTTACTTACTCTGTTCTGTCTATAAGTCCTTTGCATCTTAATAGTCGACCTCCTACCTCCTACCTCTTTATCCACATCTCCTCTTTTCCTCATACTTCTTTTCCTCCTACCTCTTTATCCACATTTCCCTCCCCATTTTCTTCCCCAGCCAATTGTCAGCTACATTGTCTTTTTTAAAGACTTGGCTTGTGTCACGTATTCATTGAAGTCTTTCCTGACCTACCAGGTAGAAGTGGTCTCTCCTTCTGATGCACTTGTACTCATGCTTTCTAGACATTCCTATCATGTCACCCACAACCCTTTTTGCACTCACTTTAAATATTGCTCTCTCACATTAGGAATTTCTGGAGAACAGTGATAGCATCGTTAATATTTGCATCCCCAGTACTAAGCCCACTGACTGGCACAAAGTAACTAACTACCCAATAAATTTTGTAGGGTAGTACACAGTGGCTTTTTCCCAGTTGCATGAAATTCACACTTTAATAGATGGTATTCTATGGAAAAGGATACACTGAGCCACAATTTATAAGGCACGAACCTTAAAATATAACCAAAAACTTAAATGAAAAAAGATGTGGGATTAGTCTAGGTTTGGCTCTAAGAGTATTTTGACATTCGAGATTTATTTTAGTTGAAAAGGTTGAGAAAATATATGTTTGGTTTCAGTCAACAGCTCAACAATTGCTCTGGCCAAACACCTGATGAGGGGAGCAGAGCAGAATAAATAATCCATGGTCCTTGTCCTGCAGGAATCCACAATCTCACAGTTCAGTAGGAGACACACACACGTACAACACAAGAGGGTTGCAAAGTGCCAAGGGGCACAGAGGCAGGGAGAAATAAGTTCTAATTAGGAGAAGATAGGAATTTCTTAAGAACAGGATTTAAGCAGAGATTTGAAAAATGGTTAAGATTTTCGTAGGTGGAACTATAAAAGCTACCAACACAGCCAAGAAGGGGTGCAGAGGTGAGAAAATGCCAGGTGTACTCTATGAGGATACAGTTGCTATCAATGCAGCACTGGGTACCAGAGGATGTTATGGGAAATAAATGTGGACAGGCAAAGGCAATTAAGGAAGCTGAGGAGTTGGGATTTATCAACAATGGGAAGCTCCTAGAGATTTTAAAGGAGATTCTGTTTATATTTATTTGCTCAAGTTAAAATAGGTTTTGAGTTAGTAAGAAGTTTATTCTTTTAAAAATGCACTCAGCTCAGTGAGATTCACTATTCAGCTGTTGCTGAAACATTTGAATTTAATTCTGGGAATACTTACCGGGAGAGAAAGAAATGTGTTGAAAAAATCGGCAAAGATTTCATCCTCTAGCAGAATTATAAGGTTTGTAGAACTGATTATCTCTATATGGGGAGAAAAAAAAAAACCACACCTCATGAACCAGGGTTGCATTCAGGATGAGACAACAAAGCAAGAGAATGGATCATGTCACATGGTCAAATCTCAGAATTTGATGACCTTTAGGGTCATCTAACTTGATTTTTCCCTCTCTTCAGGACTCTTCTCTGCAATATCACTCTGTTTAAATACTCCCAGCTGTGGGGAGCTCACAGCTTCATAGAGCTACCCATTCCATTTATGAAGAGATGAAATGCTTAGGAAGATTTTCCTACTGTAAACCACCTTCTTTTATCTTCTTTCCATTTGCAGAAATTCTGCCCCTGAAGCTCAACAGAATTCATCTAAATCCTCTTAAAGGGGACAGTGCTTCCATATTCATAAAAACATCACAACCTTCTGTTCACCTCTGACCCTTCTGGCTAATCTGTCACTAAGCAATTCTTCAGCCGTTCATCACATGGCCTCCTTTCTATCTGGGTCCTCGCTCTGTGGCTAGAGTGGCACCTACAACCCAAGTACTCTGCATGCTTCCCAGGGAAGAACATGAGACAACTTTGCCCATACTGTATGTTCTATTAGTGTGGCCAAACATGAGATTAGCTTTGGGTGCTCTCACATTACACTATTAACTCCATCATCCTTTATTTATGCAGTCATTTTTTGGAAACCAAGGGTAGGAATTTACATTTATTCCAGTTGAATTTCAACTTGTTGATTTGGGCCCAACAAAAGCTTTTTTGAATACTTATTTGGTCATGCAAAGTATTTATTACTCCTCTAGGGCTTGATCATTGTGCTGCCTAAATTAATCTGAGGAGATGAATGTTGACTATCACAAAGCCAAGCAGAGCGACCATAGGTGGACTAGGTGACCCCTCTAAGTTTGCTCTAACTCATTCTCTATGCTCTTTAACTCCCAATATTCAACTAGTGAATAATCCAGTTGTTTTATCAATGCTCAGCATTTCCCCATTGTGTACCCAAAATTTATAATAAAAGACTTATAAAATGAACAACATAGATATTATATTAATCCTATCTCTTGGTCTATTAGATGTCTGGTGAGAATCGTCAGTGCCATTCACAATTGCTGGAGTGCAGTTATGATAATATAAGAAAACTAAACAATCCCCTCCATCACTTTTCCTGACAACACTTGGGGTTATTGTCTTTGTGTAATAGAAATAGAAATAGGAACCCAGACAAGCAAACACTATTGTAACAGAATTGATGTCAGTTCTTGCCTTTTGCTAGAGAGACCTCTGCTTTTCTTTTTAGAATCATTTCCTGATCCACTTCATCTATTCCACATAGATAATCCAAAATTTATGTTTTCAGGCCAGACTTCTTTCCTTGGCTCTAGTTCTAAATATCCAATGAGCTATGGGACATCGCTCCATGGACATCCAGCAGAACTTCAATCTCAACGTTTTCAAAACTGATCTGATCATTTTGCTTTTTCCTTTATTCCTAATCTCTGTTAACGGAACCACCACTCATCCAAATGTCTAAATCAGAAAGCCGAAAATCATCTTTTTTTTTTCTTTGAGAGAGAGAGAGACAGAGCATGAGCAGGGGAGGGGCAGAGAAAGAGGGAAACATAGAATCTGAAGCAGGCTCCAGGCTCTGAACTGTCAGCACAGAGCCTGATGTAGGGCTTGAACTTACAGACTGCGAGATCATGACCTGAACTGAAGTCAGACCCAGGCACCCCAGAAGCCTGAAAATTATTTTTTTCTGAAAATTTTATTTATTTATTTATTTATTTATTTTAAGAGGGGGAAGAGAGTGTGAGCAGGGAAGGGGTAGGGAGAGAGAGAGAATCCCAAGCAGGCTTTGCATGGTCAGCGGGGAGCTGGGTGTGGGGCCTGAACTCACAAACTGTGAGATCATGACCTGAGTCAACATCAAGAGTTACACACTTAACTAACTGAGCCACCCAGGTGCCCCCTGAAAATCATCTTTGATTCCTCCTTTGCTCTGTTTCTCTCCCTCTCAAACACTCCCATAGGCAATGGAGGACCATGCTATGTGGTCTCTCTTCCTACAGATTTCTAAAATCCATCCTTTCCTCTCCAACTCTACAGACACTGTCTTATTTCAGGCTCCCATCATCTCTCACCTTGACTTTATGGCATCAGTTTCTTATGTGATCTCCCTCAGTTTCCTTTCCAAGCACTTTCCACACACCGGCACCATAATCTTCCAATGTTGTTATTGTTAAAGCCCTTCAAATACTCTTCAGTATCCTAGAGAATATAAGGCTTCACCATATCTGGATTTGGTGTTCTCTGCCAGCATCATCTCCCACTACACCATACCATGCTGCCTTCTATTTGCCAGCCAAAATATTGTGCTTTCCTGCACGTGCTATGTCCTCTCACTTCCAACCTTCTTGTCTTTGTTACCATATTCACAGCACCTGAAATGTCCTCTCAACCTATGTGCTTTGCAAATTGCTAGTCATCCGTCAAGAACTGGTTAACATATAACCTTGGTGAACCAAGCAAATGGTAAAATCAATCACTACCTCCCCTGCACTATTACTTACATCTCCCATTATTATAATTAACCAGTTGCTGTTTTCATTTATTGAAACAGCATTTATTTCATTTATGTATCTGTCTTTCTCAGTAGACTAAGCCCTATGAGAGGAGGAACTTGGTCTTTTCATCTTTCTTCCCCTAGCCAGTAAAAGTGCTTGGATAATGTCTAAGTTCTATAAAAGTTAAATGAATTGTTCTTCCAAGAAATCTTTAATCTTTTGAGTTTTTGTTCAACTGTTTGTTCATCACTGATAAAGACTGGCATGGATTTCTTTCTTTTTTTTTTAATTAGGATCCCAATTCATAGGTTTTTTTAATATGAAATTTATTATCAAATTGGTTTCCATACAACACCCAGTGCTCATCCTAACAGGTGCCCTCCTCAATGGCATGGATTTCTTAATAAGAGTATTGAGACAATCTGAATGCAGGAAAGTGGAGTTTGGCAGAAATTTCCCAAATGATTGTGTCCCATAGCTACACTCACTGTTGGTGACAAGGGGCTTGACTATGACAGGGTTTGCCATTAACAAGACTGTCTTAATGGGGTATAGAAACAAGTCTTTCCATATATTCCCCTTCTTACTTGTTTTGCTTTGTAACTTCCTAATAATTTGGGAAGGCCTTCAACATTCATTCCATACAATAATAATACTAACTTGTGAGCAAAAGGAATAATTGGATAACCCCAAACTTCATGCTAGCCTTCTCCCTGGAGGAGACATGACACATGATGGCCCAATCTGCATTTTTCTTCCTCCTTCTTAGTTGTCTCACTTGTCTTATGAAGGGGGCTCTGTCCTATCCTCAAAGATCAGTTGGCATACAGTGGGGATGGGAGTTGGGGAGGAGAAGAAGAGAAAAGGAAAACAAAGGGCATGAATAACATAAAAGCCATAGGTGGTATCCCTGAATGACTCAGATCTGTTGAGACTGGAAAGGTGAGAGGTTTGCCCTATGTAGGGGGGGCTAAAAGTCTCAGAGACATCCCTTTTAGAGACTTACCAGCATTGCTCATGTTGCCATGCTTTCCCTGCCACTGTGATTAGCAAGGATACAGAACTAGTGCCCAGTCAACAGAACTCCACCCCATATGAACACACAGTGACACCCCCTCTAAGGGGTTCCAGATTCTATCAGGAAGTGCTCTTTTATCTCTGGGCACTCAATCTGAAGATAACACTTTGTTACCTGATCTTCTGGATCTCCTAAATGTACCAGACTTTTCCTGTACCTAGGCTTTTAGTCCATACAGTTTCGTTATCAGTTGTCCAGTTATTGATACTGAGTTTTAGCTGTCTCCTTAACTTGACCTTATGCTTCAGGGAAGCAAGAATCTGTTTCTTTCTTTCTTTCTTTCTTTCTTTCTTTCTTTCTTTCTTTCTTTCTTTCTTTCTTTCTTCTTTCTTTCTTTTTAATGTTTATTTATTTTGTGAGAAGGGGGGGGCGCAGAGAGAGAGGGAGAGAGAATCCCAAGCAGGCTCCATGCTGTCAGCACAAAGCCCAACAAGGCACTTGATCTCACAAATTATGAGATCATGAACTCAGCTGAAATCAAGAGTTGGATGTTTAACCGACAGAGCCACCCAGGCACCCCCTGTTAATTTCTTTCTCTCTTTTTAAAAAATTTTTAATGTTTATTAATTTTTGAGAAAGACAGACAGAGTAAGAGCAGGGGAGGGGCAAAGAGAGGGAGACACAGAATCTGAAACGGGCTCCAGGCTCTGAGCTGTCAGCACAGAGTCTGACGCGGAGCTCACACTCATGAACCATGAGATCATGACCTGAGCCTAAGTCAGATCATGACCTGAGCCTAACTGACTGAGCCACTCGGGTGCCCCTTGTTCATTTCTTTCTTTTTGTTTAATATGAAATTTATTGTCAAATTGGTTTCCATACAACACCCAGTGCTCATCCCAACAGGTGCCCTCCTCAATACCCATCACCCACCCCCCATCAACCCTCAGTTTGTTCTGTTTTTAAGAGTCTCTTATGTTTTGGCTCCCTCCCTCTCTAACCTTTCTTTTTTTTTTTTCTTCCCCTCCCCCATGGTCTTCTGGTAAGTTTCTCAGGATCCACATAAGAGTGAAAACATATGGTATCTCTCTTTCTCTGTATGACTTATTTCACTTAGCATAACACATTTATTTCTAATGTGTCTTTTGGATCTAATATCTTTCTAGAAATTTAACAGTTACTCAGTGAATGTTTAATGACTTATCTTTCAGATAAACTGGCAAATTCAACTTAATATACAAGTGTGTTTTCCACTCCCTTTCCTTCTTCCCAGACAGTTTCTTCTCTGGTTGGCTGTTGGTTATTTTATAATTCATTGGCGTTTAAAGGTATAGAATAAACATTAGTTGAATGCCTTCCATGAGCAAGAAATTAGACTAGGTGTTTATACTTTGTTTTCATTTAATTCTTACCCCTGGAAAATAGAGATTATTACCTCCTTTTTACTGAAAGATAGTTAAGTGAGACACTGAGATTTTACTCTGCCATTTTGATTCAGGAGGCCATGTTGTTTCAAATATGCTAGTAAATTGAACCTACTTTTCACATGAAAAATGCATTTGAGCAGACTTAAAAACAAGCCCTTTGGACTTCCTCACAATGATTTATTTTTCTGTATAATTCCTCCTACTACTTCTTATGTGCATCCTTACATGTCTAATTAGACTTCTTTCCTGCAGATGTTATAAAAGAAGTAGACACTATCTAGATGGAAAGGAGCTACTTAGAAAAAGCCATCTTGTATATCTAATTGTTTACCAGCAGGTTGAAACAAAGCCATTTAATATTTTTCATCAAATCATAGCATATGCAACAACTTGAAATTTTCTGTGACTAATTTTGACCCAAAAGTTTCTAATCCAGATTAGTCCCCCATTCTTCTAGACCAGTGACTCCAGAAAAGACAGAAGCAGGCAAGAGGCAATATGGGAAAGAAGTTATATTTGTCTTTCATTTTAACTCTTTTCAAGATGGTATAATATTTTTCAACTGTAAACTGGGCCAGGCCTATTTATGTGCTATCATGACCAGTTCAAGGAAAAGAGCAGAAACCTTTTTTATCTACATAGAAACAGTCCTAGAAATAAAAAACAATCATTAATGAAAAGAAAGGAGACAGATGAATTTTCTGGAATATTTCCAGTTTACCAAGGTTTAAAATGTTGATTGCAAGTTGGAGCATGAGTTTGTTCACAGAGAACAACTTGTGGTAAAATAAATGTTTAGAATATTTTCATATGGAAATTATATTTTGTTACTCATTTTTTATTGCCTTAAACGGGTTTGGGAATTAAGATCTTGTTCACTTCAAGGATAGGTAACTCATTTTGGGGTAGTCCAGGCTTTGGGTCTGATTGACCACATTTGGATCTTTCTTTGCAATGTCCTAGGATACCTGTAAATTAGCCCAAAGAGGGTCCTGAACGCTGACTGGGGTCAAGAGAGAGTGAATTTAGTAGGGTTTTATGTTGTTTTGTATTGGTCACTCAGTTTCTGACCACTTGTCATATTTGGGTCAATCTTCCTGCCCTGGCAGCAAGAGCATGACACCTGTCCTTGACTCCATCCAGAACTTTTCATCTTGGAGGCATGACTCAAAATCTGAAAGGCAATGAGAGACTATGCATGATGGTGCCTATGGCAACCAGTGCTCAATGGTGGGGTGCCAGCAGTAGTGGCACAGTAGGAATGACCACAAATGCTGAAAGAAGATGCTCTAGTTGAAAATGAGCTTTGATTTAAATGGGAGGTTGTGCATCGCTCCTCATCAGGGAAATACAAATCAAAACCACACTCAGATATCACCTCACGCCAGTCAGAGTGGCCAAAATGAACAAATCAGGAGACTGATAGATGCTGGAGAGGATGTGGAAAAACAGGAACCCTCTTGCACTGTTGGTGGGAATGCAAACCGGTGCAGCCACTCTGGAAAACAGTGTGGCGGTTCCTCAAAAAATTAAAAATAGACCTACCCTATGACCCAGCAGTAGCACTGCTAGGAATTTACCCAAGGGATACAGGAGTACTGATGCATAGGGGCACTTGTACCCCAATGTTTATAGCAGCACTCTCAACAATAGCCAAATTGTGTAAAAAGCCTAAATGTCCATCAACTGATGAATGGATAAAGAAATTGTGGTTTATATACACAATGGAGTACCACGTGGCAATGAGAAGGAATGAAATATGGCCCTTTGTAGCAATGGAGATGGAACTGGAGAGTGTGATGCTAAGTGAAATAAGCCATAGAGAGAAAGACAGATACCATATGTTTTCACTCTTATGTGGATCCTGAGAAACATGGGGGCGGGGAAGGAAAAAAAAAAAAGAGGTTAGAGTGGGAGAGAGCCAAAGCATAAGAGACTCTTAAAAACTGAGAACAAACTGAGGGTTGATGGGGGGTGGGAGGGGGGGAGGGTAGGTGATGGGCATTGAAGAGGGCATCTTTTGGGATGAGCACTGGGTGTTGTATGGAAACCAATTTGACAATAAATTTCATATATTAAAAAATAATAAAATAAAATAAAATAAAAGGGAGGTTGTGCTCACCACCAATGACAAAGTATATGTGAATATCATAATAGTAGCTATGGCAGTGTGGGTATCAGAATGATCCAACCCACAAATTCCTTGTGGTGGCTATTGATCATGGGATCCCTTGGAAAAATGTGTGGGTAGGCCACTATATAAGCTCCATGGTGGCAGGGATTTTTGGCTGTTTTATTCAATGATATATCCCAAACCTTTAAAGCAGTTTCTGTCACATGAAAGTGCTCAGTAAATATTTGTGAAGTGAATGAATTAATATAAATAGGAGTCTAATCAGGTCCTTCATTCAATTTTCAGTCCTGAGTCAGACACAGAAGCTCTTAAATAAAAAGAAAACATTTTACTATTTAGGAAGAACTGTGCAATATTTTTGCAAGAATTTATTGTGAATCTTTTTCCTAATCTTTGCTAAAGAGATGTGCTGCCATTTCCAGGGTAAAGATGCACTGTGGTAAAGGAGACACCCAGAACTTTGGGAAATCATTGCATTCTGGATCTGACCCAACACAAGGCTACTAAATATCACAGCTGATATGTGAACTCAAGTCTATCTAATTCAAATACCAGTATTTCCTATATTTGCCTGATAATAATAATCATCTTGGGGCACTTGTAAAATATATGGACTCCTGAGCCCTACCCAGCCCTTCTAAATCAGAATCATCAGAGGAAGGACCTGATAATGTACAAGTACCCCAGGTGATTCTTATTATCACACAAGTTTGGGAGATATCTAATTCCCTTTCCCTTTGGAAACTGGAAGGTCTTGAAAGGGTCAGGGATCCAAGTCCCATGCAAAAGCCTCTAGCCAGTGATGGTGGCTTTTAGTCTTGCCACTGTTGAAGTGACAACACTCCATTTGGTTGTTAGTGCCTCCAGTAGTCAAGCTCTTCAAGCTGTGGGGAAGATGGTGGGACAGTGATCAGGAGTAGAGAGTGTATTCATACAGCTTCATTGAAGACAAGTCTGAAAGCACACTGTATTAAGGAATGTGGGTAGATATCAGTGTTATATATTGCCATTCTTTTAAGAAGAGACCTAAAAGATTTTTTTTTTTTTTTTTGGCCTAGGTTGTGATAGCTCTTTTCCGAAGGAGGTGATAAGCTAAGGCATAACTTGAGATTAGCAAGCTATGTAGAGCTTCACCCTGAACTCTCTTAAGGTGTGTGTGTGTGTGTGTGTGTGTGTGTGTGTGTGTGTGTGTGTTATGCTAACAAATGAGGTCATTGATAATTGATTGAAGAAATATTGTAGGCTACCAACTCCTCTTGGAACACATAAAACATCAAGACATAATTACTTTCTTCACTTTAAAATCAAAATCACTTTAAAAAATAGTATCTGGGGGGCGCCTGGGTGGCGCAGTCGGTTAAGTGACCGACTTTAGCCAGGTCACGATCTCACGGTCCGTGAGTTCGAGCCCCGCGTCAGGCTCTGGGCTGATGGCTCAGAGCCTGGAGCCTGTTTCCGATTCTGTGTCTCCCTCTCTCTCTGCCCCTCCCCCGTT